CCTTCTGGACTGCTTTCTGGAACTCGCATATTCTCCACTATTGAGAATCTGAAATATTAGGTGACTAAACTTCTTGTTCTAGCGATCGCAGCTTCTCCTTCTGAACTGTTTCCCGGAAAGTTGCATCGATACGAAGAGAGCACATGTCACCCGGCCGCGAGTTGGGGAAAAGACGGCTATGGCATGCACCCCTACGCTCCCACGTCGCAACGAGACCATGACATCTTCCGTCCTGCTGACATCTCTCCCCAAGACGCGAGACAAGAACGATAGGAACTAATTTTCAGATCTCATTTTCCCCCCGGCCTCCTCTCTACTACCTAATTATGACTAGAATCTGACCCTTTGATCCCTTAAAACCTCTTCCCATAATTATTACTGATTAATTGCTTAAACTTTTGTTAATTCTGCCCTTCCTTACATTATTATACTAGCCTGGTGATGTATAATCGAAAATGTTCGTTCGTTTAAGTTGACTTCTAGAAACAAAAGAGTCAGAAATCGTTTTTGTTTTTGTTGAAACTTGCTTATTTAACAATGATTTTGTTTTTTTTTCAGAAACTACTTGAGAGAATTTAAGTACATACTTCAATTTTTAGGAGTGTGGGACATTAAATGAGTCGAGAACCCGTGCAGTAGGAGATGCCAGTGTTGGTGGTTCTCCCCAGTTTGTTTCACGTGGGCGCATCTCAAGACAGTGGTCAAAGAAGCTGTCTGGGTCTCAATTTTTTGCCTGTTGGTCCCGAAGATGCCGTACTTCGCGTACCTGTTTTCCCTGTTTCACTGTCATTAAGGACGGGAAGACATGAACTAGTTGTCGGAGCCCCTTCCTCTCCTCCTCTTATGCCTCAAATTATGACTAGAACCTGACCTTCTTGATCCCTTAACACCTCTACCCCTAATAATTACTGATGGGTTGCTTAAACTTTTATTAATTCTGCCCTTCCTTACGTTATCGTACTAGCCTGATGATTTATAATCAAAAGCGTTCGTTCGCCTAACTTGACTTATTGAATTTTTTCTGGAAGACTTCTCTTCGCTTCTATCAGCATTTCCCATTTTCTCGTGGTTTGGAATCGATTGATTTATATATGCTTTCAGAGTGCTTGTATAAATCAAAAGAAATTCAGTGGTAGGATCTTCTGCAAATCGCACGGAAATTACGGGTTCGCATGCCATGCAGGCAGAAGCATATTGCAACTAGATATTCGCGCATTCACACAGATGCTCCAAATAAATTTTTCAACTTGAAATATTCCACTATATACAATAAGAAATTCAACAAAAGGCGTCATTTTCGCAGGTATGGGTCAAAATATAAGTTTGGAGGCCAAGACTTAGGCTAAAGTTCTGTATGCGATGGGGTGACACGACTTTTCCTGCTGCATCTTCCACCTCTCTCTCTCTCGATCATTAACCAACATTATACAATGTTGCCGTTTAATTTGGATTTTACTTGGCTCTTCAGTTTTCTGTCGCTCGATGTCCGTCTGCTTGGTAGCAACTTCAGCACTGACGATGCTTACTTGCACACCGAAAACTTGATGTGTAGTTAGCTATCGGAAGTTTGAATTCCTCCATGCTGTGGATATTCTCTGCCCAGCAAACTTCAGCTTTACTATAATCAGCTCTGGTGCTGAAATTTTCCGGTTGCAATTGGGTTTCACTGGTGGATGCCCCCTTTATTGGCCTCACGATACACTGACGGAGCACGCTACTGGGGAGAGGATGTTTATGTACATATGCTGTCCGTATTACACAAAGATACTTGGGTCGCAAGCCATCTTTAGTCGTTCGACGTCAAGCAGATACGCGTACATAAATAATTAAGAAGAGGCTGAATGCTGCAGGATTACTGTAAAATAAAGAGCGTCTCCTGGCCTAATTCTGCGTTTTAAGACAGCCGTGGTTACATTATGGCCAGAACTGGGACACTGTTAAGATTAAACATTCTGACTGAAGGCTCACTGTAGGTTACTGAGGGACCACAGACCTCGAACGTGGCTCCCGGGGCTCCGAAAATTGGGTTATCCGTTTGAATGGATGTCGTTTTAAATATCACCAAAACGCCTGACCGCAATGCCATTAAATGGCGTAGTGCTTCTTTTTGATTTTTCGCTTGCTGGTTTTTTCGGCCAAGGAATGCCCTTCTCCATTCCAAAGGATTTGCATTTTTCAGATTGCCTATAGCTTTCATCGTCAAAACAAGCTATTACAAATAATCTAAGCTCTGTATAGTTCAGTATAGAGAAT